AAGGACATAAGTTGAAGAAGTCAAAGCTCAAGCTGAAGAAGAAGCCGACATCTACAGCTGGCAAAAGGAAAGATTTCACGAATTTCATTGCATAAGCTTTTATTATTAAGCTAGAACATTTAGATTGATTTATTTTTTCTATTTTTTGTTTTTTTTTTTGGTAGTTATTTGATTTTGTTTTTGCTCTTCTTCTGGTTCACTACATTGACTAATTACGGTATGTAGCACACCTAGTGGCTGCTCTCTATTCAGTTTACTGTGCTTACATGCTACGGAAATGTTTACGTCTCAGCTCGTCACGTGCCGTCTCGCTCTAGCTAAGGCTAAAACTACTGCTGTCTCGCTCGCTTTCACGCCTGCACAAGCAGCTCGCTGGCTAGCTTGCTCTTTCATTATCTATCTTTCCTTCTCTCCTACTCGTTCTCTCTCTCTCTCTCTCTCCCTCTCTATCTTTCGTATATACAGTGATAGTCAAACTTAGGGCTAGGCATTTGGTTTTCTTATTTCTCTTTTTTGTTATTTATCCGGGCATGGCCCACACGAACACTCACACACACACTCTCTCACACACTCTCTCACACACACATACTAGACAAAAAAAAAACTCGTTAGTATTGGTAATTGTACACATTAAACTGACTTGGCTAAGGACTAAGAACTAAACCTAAACGCTAATCTCGGCCTGGGCGCGCCCTCTAGACGCGCTCCACTTGCGTCTCCGTGTGGACGGCCTGCAGCTCGAGCTCCGTTTCCTCGGCCAGCGTGTAGACGCCGGGCTTGATCTGTCCGTCGAGCAGCGGGCTGCTGAGCGTGTTGTCCGTTTGGTTCGCATAGACGGGCGCCGGCTGGGCCTGGGCCAGGCCCAGGCGCGAGCCGTTCGGGTCCATGGTCAGAATGGGCACCAGCTCGTGGTTCACATAATCCTTCAGCACCAGCGAAGTGGGCGTGTCTGCAAGCGAACAACAAGAGGGGGATCATTCATCAGTATGAGGATTGCTCGAAAGCTGCTCGAGATTCAATGGAGCTGACCTGTCACCAGTGTCTCCTCGGTGGGATTGCGCTGATAGAGATGGCCGCGCTTCTCATAGTGTCAGGAGGCGGGCATATAGTACTGATTGCCATCCTCGTGCGAGACATCCAGCAGGGAGCCGGCGGCGCCGCCAGCTGCGGCGTTGCCAGCCTTCTTGAACTCGACCACGATGCGTATGCGATGGACGATTTCCTCGTGGATGACATTGAAGCACATCGCCGTCAGCGTCATGCCGGACATGATGTACACCGAGCAGAACCAGGTGGTGGCATTCGAGTCGCGTCGCAGTCCGGGCAGCATGTCGCCAAAGCCAATGGTCGAGAGGCTCATGAAGCAGAAGTAGATGCCGTCGATAATGGGCCAGTTCTCCAGCCGGTAGAGCACCGCCGCCCCGAACACTATGTAGATGATCATCATGGAGAAGCAGAGCAGAATGGGTGCCAGGATGCTCAGGCCGTGCATTGAGCCGCGCGACTCGCTGGCGCTCAGCGAATCGATGTCCGTGCCGCTTGTGCCGCCGCCGCCGCCGCCGGGGGGCGGTGCTGCGGGCATGCCCAGACCCGGTATGCCAGTGGGTGTGCCGCCAGTGGAGGTGGCAGCAACACCAACGCCACCCCCACCGCCAGCTCCGCCCCCGGCGCCACCTACTCCGCCGCTGCCGCCGCCGCCGCCGCCGCCGCCTCCTGGTGGCGGTTGCTTCTCGGGCGTGGCATGGTAAACGTCGCGCACATAGTACGGCTCCTGCATGACGGCCTGCTGCTTGCGTAGCTCCTCCTGCTGGCGCTTGCGCTTCATCCGACGCTCCTTCTCGGCCATGCGCTTCTCGTCGTAGCAGCAGTAGCCGCAGTTGGAGCACAGGCAGCAGCACAGCGCCTTCGAGAACACCTCGCGCGCCACCTTGGCCAGGATGCTGCCGGTGCTGCTCAGGTAGACGAGCGTCAGGGGGATGCCAAAAAAGGCATACGCCACCGTCACGATCCTGCCGAGCGCTGTGCGAGGTGCGATGTTGCCATAGCCTGCAGAATGAGAGAGGAGAGGAGATTAGACAGTGCGAGAGATAAAGCGAGAGAGAGAGAGAGAGACAGGGAGAGAGAGGGAGAGGCTTTGAGAGCGAGTTAAGGTGTGACTCTTAGAGACTCTGAGAGACAGAATGAAGGAGAGCGATTGAGAGCAATAGCTGAAACAGAAAGAGACGGAAGATTTGATGTAAAAGAGAAAAGGAAGGAAATAACAATACAAAAGTGAGTAAAGAGAGAAAGAAATAGAGTTATATGAGAGGAAATCTCAAATATAGAGAGAGAAACGGGGAGAGAGAGAAAGAGAGAGAGAGATAGAGATAGAGAGAGAGAGAGGGAAAGACAAAATATATGATGTATATAAAGAGAGATAGAGAGCGACATAGACAAATAGATGAGTTAATAGAGGCATACAGAGGGCAACTGATGGAAAGACAGTATGACAGATAGAAAGGGAAAAAGAGAAAAATATAGTGAGAAACAGAGGAAATAGACAAATCGAGAGGGAGAGAGAGAATGAGAGGGATAAAAATACCAAAGAAAGGATAACGAGAGAGAGATGAATGAAAAGGCTCTGGACGAAAGAAAGAAAATCCACTTGAGAGCGAGACAGAGATAGAAAACGAGAGTGGGAGAGATGGAAAAAGAGAAGTTATCAAATGAAAATAATGAAATGAAAGAAGTAGAAAGAAAAGGCGATGAAAATTAAGAGAAAGCGCAGTACAGTTACAGAGATGAACATGAAAATGGCAAATAAGTTGAGAGAGAGCATAAGAACTAGCTTGATATAATGTAGGTATATAGATATATCAATATAATATTAAGCACAAGTCCAGCTTTTGCTTAAATAAAGTTTTAAATATTTTTTGGGGCTTTTTGAGACCAAATAGATATTCTTCTGTTTCAAGATATACATATGTGTATATATTTAAAAGACTGTCTAGAGAAATCATATTTCATGCGCTCGTATTAAATATAAAATCTATTTCTTCCCTTCCCAAATTTCCACAAACTTTTGTTTGACTCAATGAGATTGAGTCAGTTCCCGTTCTTCTGTGGGATGTTCTCACATCGTCATTATTCTAATTGGAATGTGTGCAGTCGACATCTGATTGGATCGTATCATCAGTCATGTGCCATACGCCATGTCGTATATCTGAGGAAATCTCCCTCTCCCTCTCCCTCTCCCAACTCTCTGAATCTGTTGCAGAAATAATGAAGCGGGCGGGGCAATAAAAGTGCCTAACAAGCTACAGCAGGTAGACCGCAAATGAATGTAGTATGTGGTTGTTGTTGATGGGCGTGGCAGGCACACACACACACACACATTGCTGTCGTCGTCTTCGTCAGGTGTCTCATGCATAAATTGAAAATTTCTTAATTTTATTGTTGGCGCTTGATGTATTTTTATGCATGTCGCTGCGAGGCAATACGCCCGATGGGCGCCGAGGGAGCTGGTGGGTGTGGCCGTGGGGGAGTTTCAATGTTTTATTGCCGTGACAGTGAGTGCTTGCTGTTTTATGAAGGCAGCGGCCGCCGGACACTAAGACAGACCACTGAGCATAGAGCGTGGAGCACTCAACGCAAATAAATTGAATTAATATGAAATCAGATGAGGCAAGTCGAGTGCCGACACGATACGGCCAATCGGAATAGAGCCAAAGACTTTGCATTGCTGCAGGGGACTCAATCACATACACACACACACACACACACACACACACACTCACACACTCACACACGCACAGCATGTAATTGCGTTGACAGCAAATTTAAATGAAATCCTCCGCCTGCCCCAAAAATCTTTAGCTCTGGCAAAAATGTCAAAGTGTCAGAAAGTAGACGATGCACAGTGGGGCAAATGGAAGATAAAGTGCCAAAAATGTAAATTATGATACAAACAGTTCGCCAAGTGGATGGAGAATTGAATAATAAAAAATTAAATTCAAATATTACAAATT